TGACTACATTTATTTCAGAAGCATTTTGGCTGTAGAGCAGTGTAATTATTAACAAGAATCGGAACTGCATGACTGGAAAGAGCATCCCTTGTGTATCACACACGTTGGCTAAAACAGAGTGCGTTATCTTCAGTTCCTGATCTCACTTTAGAATCCTGTAAGAATGATCGGCAGACTGGACTGAAGACCAAGAAGATAAATTTACTTACCTTTCCTTTTATTTCTTTGAACATATGACAAAGGATTCTCATTCACGGGGTTTGTGCTCCTATCACAAGACAGGGCAGAACTCCTCTAAGGTTTTTGACCTTCTAAAGCAGCAATAGTAGCAGTCTTTGTGCATTCCCCTCCCCTCATATTGCCCAGCACATGCTACCAAAATCTTCTTGTCAGCTCCTGAAGAAGAGAGGAAGCAAGCACACCCGGCTAAAAAGAATAACTAATGTAAAAATGAATCCTTAAAAACTATCCCAACAGAATTACGGATAAGTCATTTTTCTGACTCTAAACTTAGGATTTTCACTCTTGGAGAACAAGCTGCGTGAGAGATATCCCAAAATAACAACACTGCAACAAGGAGTGTACAAATTAGACTAATATTCAGCATGGAAGAAACAAGAACATTTAAAATAGTTAGGTACAGTAGGGATAAAATACCCCCCAAAGTCCCAAGGCATGAACAGAAAGCCTGGATGGAGGTGTGCTCGAAAAAACAACTTTAAGACAGACTTAAATAAGGGACAACCCGAAAGAAACAAAAGCTCTAGGGATCTGGACAATTTGGGTAACAGGTTCTGCATTACTGAAAGAATAAAGCCGGATCCTCCCTAGAGACTGAATCCAAGCTTTGTAAGTGTATGTAGGACCATCTGGCTATCTTACATATGTCCAACATTAAAATATCCCTCAGATGCACTACACTAGATTCTAAAGCTCAGTTACACGTTGCAGTTGAAGTTGCCATCACTAATAAGGTGGCCTTGCATGTAAGAACCTAAGGCTTTCACACTGAGGACTTCCTCCTGGTCCAGCTGCAGGCTCAACTGATAGCAGTCTCCTGTGGTGGACTGAGACAGAACCGGGGGTGTCTCTAGAATGGATTTGATGAAACTTGATGGCTTTGGGTAACTTTTCAAGGCAGATCTCTCTCCCCTCCTCCCCCACCGAAGTCAGACTCAGCTCTAAGGCTGAGGAACTAGCAGCTGCACTTAGCAATGACCAACGTCTTTCTAAATCAAGCATTTCTTTTGAAACTTCTGGTTCTCTTCATTTCTTTGAGGGAATGGAGGAAGAGAATAACATCCTGAAAACAAAAGAAATGAACTACAGAAAAATCACACCAAACCATCCAGAGAAAGTTCCAAAGTATCGGGAAACTACACATACCACCAGTACCAAGAGAAGACACCCAGAGTTGCCAGAAGCACCAATTCAAAGCTCTAAGAAAATTGTGTGACAAAATGCTGAGGCCTCAAGACAAAGTGAAGCAGCACTGAATGGAATACAATGAACAATAGAATTGGGCACAGAAATGCCAGGACATGCTAAAGTAACAATACTGAAAAAGCTCCACGTGAGGGGTTGCAATGGAACTGAGCTGTAGGAGGGCTTGAGGCTGAAATGAGAGGGCACTCTTGGGTTCAGATAATCCAGATCATCATGAATAGGCTCCACAGATTGTGTGAGAAATTAATTTTTAAGAAACAGATTGTGAGTTGGTGAGAGCTAGCGCAGCATTTGCTTAAATTCTCCTGAGGAGAGCACCTTCGTGGACTATGGTCAGAAAAGGAATTGAGGGCTCCAGCGGGTAACCCACTTAGAGGGTGCGTTAACCATATGTGCTAACCACTGCTCCCAGCGCCTCAGCGGGTCCAAAATCTTATAAGAATTTGGCCCTGTTTCAAGCTGGAAGCATGAGATCCAGGAATAAGCATCCTGCAGTGATGTTATTTTTAAAATAAACTAGGAACCTGTACTCAAACGGAAAAACAAAAAGGTAATTCTGTTTTTGTAATCAATAACATTTTCATCTGATGTGTGTGTGTACCCAATTATGTAACACAAACTGACTGTGAGAACCACTTTCTTTAATGATATTTAATGCTATAAAAGAGGGGTCAAATCCTTCTCCCCTTTCTGCAGTAGTCCCACTGAGGTGAATGGGTCTGCTCATGTAAGTAAGGCAATCAGCATTTGTCCCAAAGAGTATGTTACTCTTATTTGAATGAGAAGAGCATGTAATAGGTCCTAAGTGAAGCTGGAACAATGTTGTTCTGGTCTTCAGTGAAGGTCCTTTAAAGATTGGTCCTTTAAAGATTCTTATATTTGGCTTCTTAATTCCTTTCCCTTTTTGACATATTTAAACTGAGACACCTAGAAATTCTTCAAATTAAGCCAAAATCAAGGCAACCGTATATATATATATATATATATATATATATAAAGTATATGTATATCTGACACTAGAGGTGTCCTGTTCTCACAAGACAGGCAGTTCTACCACAAGTCCTTCTGATTAAGTCTCTATGATTGCAACAGTACGGGAGGCCAGTTTGGGAGTTTTTCAGCAAAATTATCAGCGTGATTAGTAGGCTCAGAAATTCCAATTTTAATTAGAAACTTTATTGTGAAATACATTACATAGTTTACATGTGGTGAGAAGTGCTTTCACCATGAGATATTTCAGAACATTGTGCTGAGCAAAATGGCTATAGATTTCCTTGGAACTTTCCTTTTTTTAAAAAAAAAAATAACAACAAAAATATCTTCTTACAGAACTATGAGGCAACTTAAAAAATATTTTTATTTGAAGGCTATTACTACATTTACCTTAGGGTAAAAATATTTAATGATTCCAAATACCTGTTACCTGTTAAGTAAGTTTGCATGTTTCAGAAATGACATAAGTATTTGGCATTAAGACTAACAGAAATTCTAGTTCTAAATAATCCTTGAATTCACTAACATGTGGAAGAGAAGCAAAATAATGCTAATTTCAATGATCAAATGGTTTTTGCTAAATAAGGCACAGTCATCAGAAACCTTTGAAACTTTATAGAAGAGTATACAAATTCAGATATATTTGTACATATTTGTGAGATTTTCTTTGATAAAGCCTGAAAGATTATTTTCTATCTGCTGCTGAGAGTTTCCAGGAACAAGTCAGAGCAGCAAGGCAACTAATATAGAGAAGCCATGCAAAGAGTGAAGACTGATGCTTATGATGGCATAAAAATATCTGCAAAGTAGTTCATTTTATAAATGGAGCATTCACCTGATATCACTGAAGTGGTGACCATCCAATTAAGGGAAAATTAGATGCGGAATTATTTCTGCAAGTAGTATCTACATACAAAGACGTTCTCCCCCACCAAAAAAGCGACAAGTATGAGACATACAAAGGTCGCCTGACAGTAGACCAAATGTCAGGGAATGTTAACTCCATTTACTTAAACAATAACTACTGCCATCGCAATTTGCACTACTTATTAAACAAAATGAAGACTTCCAAAAATGGTATTAATTGAACAAACAATTACCATTATTTTGGTTGGAGAAGTGCTCAAGAAACCCATAAGATGTAGTGATGTTTCAAGAGGTTGGAAGAAACAGAATTTTTTTAAGATGATTTCTTATTAAAGAATTCAAACGTGAGAAATTTCTTTTTTCAATCAAATCCTTAAGGAACAGTTGCATGAACGTAGCACTGTCTGGCCCGAATGACCTCTGAATGCTGAATATGTTTTCAGAATTACCTAATTGGCAGACTTCTGTTTTCAATTTTTATTATTGCAATTAAAGTACTGTATCCATTATAAATTGAATAATCAAGTTTTGACATTAAAAAAGTCACCAAAATCATTATTTTGATATAGATTTGTATCACATACCAAAAGATAATTTTTATATGTAGTTCTGTGAAATAAATGCAAACACTAAAATATAAAAAAAGATTTTAAAAATTAATTTGCAAAGCTGAACTCATTCTACAGCTTTGAGGTAAAAAAATTCTGTAAATGAAGAAGTCATGACATAAATGTGGAATATAAAATACATTCTACAGTATTTTACAGAATGGTTGAGTTTATCATCAGGCATGAGAATCTGGAGGAGAATGACGTTAATGAGAAGCAGTTCACATACAGAACACAAAGCAATAAGTTTAAATCAGACTATTTTGGTTTGTGTAGCCCTTTATTAGCAACTAAAATAGAAGATATCTGTTGTACAACACAGCTAGTAATGGACTATACTGGAGTTTTATTATATTCTAATACAGGATCATTTATAAATGCTTTTTTTTTTTCATTAAAAAGCTCCCACCCTTTTTTCTGTTTACAACTGGCAAAACTATTCTGAAAGCTGAGTACATGTGCACAGGTCTGCAAAGAGTGCAAATTTAGGATATGGTAAATGCTTTACATGTTATATTTGCAAGGACTGTCTACCACCAGGCCTTTACAGACATTATCTTTTTTTTTTTAAATCACAAAGTTTTGACACAAGCCTTCCTTCCATTGGTTTAACAAGAAAGCATTTTTAAATGAGTTGAAACTAAGGAAGGACTACACCTACTGGAAAAGAAGAGAGTTCTATTAGTTTGAGGTTTCAGTATACCCGAAGACCAGGAACCGTATCTTTGTGAGGGCTAGGCTGGGACCCCGTACATAGTATGTGTGCAGGTGGCATCCCTGAGTGTTCGGAGGTTCAGTGGACCATTAGTGCTCCAGCAGCATAACTCACTGAGCTGTCTTGCCAGTTTCGACACTGGCTTGACTGGGCATAATTCAAAAATGAAAAGCTCATATTCATTCCATTCTTCTGGAGCTCTGTTATAGCCTATATGAAAACAAAAAAAGAAAAAAAACAAACACGTTAAGGACAAGTTATTCACAAGATGATTTATGCCACCAGACTCTGCTACTTTAGTCCCCAGCCCCCTCCTTCAATTGGACTGAATGCGTTCCTGCAGCTCCTTCCTTTCCTCAAAACCCCCAAATACTCCACGGACACCTTCTGGAGAGACCCCCCTATGTGACTCCCTATTATTCATGCAGAGAGACCCATCCCTCACCTAATCTTTTGTGCAGTAGGAAATTTTTACAAGAGGCAAACTGAATACTGGTGCTTGTAGTCTTTGAGGCAGTTGGACCATTAAGAGAAGGAAAATGCGAAGCAAGAGAGACAACAAAATGTAGGGACCTAGATTTATTGCTAAATTGTAGAATTATTTTTAACAAAAAAACTCCTGTGATTTTGGTAACATGGTCAGAGCTACAACATTTAAATTTTTTTTTTTTAATACTCTTCCCAATATAGACACTGCAAATAGAGATCTTTTCACAGGCCCCGTCCTGTAGAGATACCTCAGTGTGTTCTCCACAGAGATTCAACCTCCCAATGAATAACACCCTCCCTGGTTAAAATAAAAAAAGAATAATGTCCCTCCCATTTGTGTTTTAAATTACATTTAAAAATACAAGACTAAACTCACCAGTACCATCTAGCTGGTTTGCACGAATCCAGCAATGCTGTGAAGCAGCCACAAACCCACTGTGATCAGCTAATTAAGCCAAGTTTACAGCTGCTTTGTATCACCAGAGGAGCACACAGTAGCCAGAATATAACATAGAATCTGGCCCATAATGGCTATTAATTTAGGAGCTGGTTCAGAGTTGCTGCGTGCAACTCCCCTTTGAAATATTGTCAGAAGCCACAATACGTTCACAATCACCAAATAAATAATATACAGGCAAACATACTTTCTTTAAAATATATGTGCTACCACTATTGATTCAGGAATTAATATTGTACATTTCACTAGGGATGGGAATTTTAAAGGAGTCTAGGAGAGTTAGTTGCCCATTTCACATTGAAATTCTATGGAACTTGATGTTTATCTCTCTTAGGCACTTTTGAAAATCCCAGCTGTGGTAAAAGGTAAGTTTGCTTGTGTTTCAGCCTAGAAAATTACAGAGTTTGAAAACTTGGGAAAACAAACTGGATTCAGACTTCCAGTCTCAGAGGTAATAGGCCCGTAGCAATTTATTGGTGAGAGAAATTTAAACAAATTTGCAAGAAGTCAACATTTTCACAAAGAGTGGTACTTACATTTAATAATACCCCAATGGGATGTCTTCCACATATTGTATTATGGTATTTCTTCAAGTAATTGCTAAAAGATACAGGATCTAGCTGCTCTATAATGCTCATACCCTGAAAAAGAGTCAATAGCAATGATTACTGCCTACCTAGTTAAAATGTGTGAGCCTTTTAATTAATGGACATCACAACTACATGATGTGTTTGAGAAGGAAAAACCTCAATTCTGAATCATGGGAATCTCAGTATATGAACAGTATTTTCTAACTGTGGGTTTGCCTTGCCCCTGTCCCTTATAAAAAGAAGGGACGGGGGTATGACCTTCCAAAGCCGTAAATGATCTGACATCCATGGACTATCCTTCAAATCTTGAGACAGCCACATAAAGATCTATTGCCTTCCCACTACTGCCTCTGCCTGTTCCCCTGGCAACACTACTCCCTGAAGAATTTTACTCCTATGGGCTTCTGAAGAGCAGTAGCACCAAATACTAGGCAGGTTAAAATCCCCGTGTGAAAATAAAACCTAATTACATATCCTAAAATTTATGTTTATACAGACACCAATAAAATCCCACCAGTGTTCCAGGCAAAGGCTGCTCTTTCCTTGTCAGCATATAACACATCACATACATGTAAAATAGCTTACAACAAATCTACCTTACAGCTTCTACCTTCCTCAGCTATTCCCCAGCTGCCTCTTGCCAAACAGTGATAGGTCCTGTCCTACATTCTCCTGTCTGGGAAATGCTTAGTCCTTAAAGTTGCCAACGGGTTAATGAGGTCCAGCTACTGATGAGTCAAGGAAATTCCCCTGGAGTTCAGAACAGGACAGTACGCTTGTCATGGGAGTGGAAGTAAGTTCACAGTGTGTGTGGGGGGGGGAGAGGGACAAGGGGGAGAGAGCATGTGCACAATATTCATGGAGAAATTCTCCTGAGGTGCTTTTTTTTGTTTTGAGTTTAGGGGAAGTTGGATGGAAAGAGGAGAAATCGTCACCCCAAGAGCGGCCATCCTCTCACACCAAGTCAAGTCCACCCATCCCCCACAACAACAAAGCCCTAAACATGGTGAAGGGTCTGCTGGGGAGACGACAATGCCACTTACACTTCCCTCAAAACAAAGAATGGCCCATTCTTCCAGAAATGCTGCAATTTTCTTGCTTTCCAAGGGATTTTCAGGAAGGCATGCTCTGGCCCTTAGCATCCCAACTCATCCAGTTATTCCCTTTCTAGCTAAAAGTCAGCAAGGGTACCAACTGTGATGTGAACACTTGTCCACTAACTGGATTGTGACCAGCTTGTTTCACATAAAGCTATTCAGTGGTGTAATAAACTTTCGTTCACTACTGACCTAGGAAGGATATGAACTGGAGAACAACAATTTGAAAGACAAGATAATCTCCTGAGCTCTCCAGTTTTCTTGTAAATTTTAATTATTGTACAGCTATGTAAAGTAGAATCAGCTTAACTGCATACCAAAATGGAATGAGATATGCCAACTGCAACTGTGATTATGAATAGGGCTCCATGTCTGTCACGGATTCTGTGACTTTCCGTGATCTCCATGAATTCTGCAGCGGCTCCGGAGCCAGCCGCTCGGGCGACCCCGCAGCCAGCCCCATCGGCACTGCTGGAGCGGCCTCGGGGGCAAATGCACCAGCTGCTGCTCAGGTGGCCCCGGGCAGTTGGTGCCACTGCCCCCGCTCCCCATCCCCCCTGCGCTAAGATTTAGTCAGGGGTATATAGTACAAGTCATGGACAGGTCACGGGCAGTGAATTTTTGTTAACTGCCTGTGACCTGTCCATGACTTTTACTAAAAATACCCATGACTAAATCGTAGCCTTAATTACGAACAGCAGAACACATTTTGCAGATAAAAAAAAAATCATTTCATTAATGTAGTACAGAACCTACAGTGAGGTACAAGATTCATGTCACAGCAATAAGCCACTGAAATATCCTGAACTCTATCTGACAATTTAGCAGCTGTCCTCACTAAATGGTCACTGTATTTATCAGCGTCAAATAAGCTGATTTTGATACAAAAGTTATGACCATGGAACATTTAGAGTTTAGCTCATCGTCCCAAACTAATATAAATAAAACCTGCATTCCACAATACATCATCATGCATTCTCCACATTTTACCGAAACGTCTATTTTAGCAATGGTTTACAGAATTTTAAAAATTGTACTGGAACTATTTTTTGAATCCTTGATTTCAAAATGAGTACTGCCAATACTGGTTCTCAGGCCAGTGTAATGTACAGGAGGAAAACCCCACAGTTTGAGTGAATAAGGAAATACTGCTGTCACCTGGTATTTTGTGTTTTTGTTCATTCTAAATGGCAGTTGCATTAAGCTGTTTAGAAATCTGCAAGCGTCGAAGGAGTCCAGCTGGATATGAATTAGAGAAAAGAGTACCACACAGCTCTGTAATTTATCATGTGGATACCACAATACCACCATATATGTAGTATATATTGGTTTACCAAACACATATTAAATGACATCTGCAGTGCCCAGGTGCAATGCGATGGGGAATATCTAACATAACAAAATTCATTTTTAACTCCTGGTTTAGTAATCAATGGGGCTACTCATGTAAGTAAAAGTTTGCAAGATGAGGTTCTTATTTTATATATAGTATTTCATACTATAATGTCCAATAATATTGTATTCAATTATATTTATTGTCAATTTCATAATATCTACTTTGTTTCTAAGAAAAGTAGGACAAGAGTAGAATACACATAGAAGTAGAAATGTCCTAACAGTTAATAGTTTATGCAAATAATCCAATTATTTTTGCAGTCATTTTTCAAGTTTGCTCACTTTTCTCAGCTTGTAACATATCCAGAACAAAATTTTCAAAAATCAGCAATGATTCTGGGTGTTTCTGCTTTTTTGTGCCCAACTTGAGATGATTTTCAGAAGTGCTGGGCATCCACAACTTTAACAAAAGTTAATGGGAGCTGAAGGTAGTACATAGTACTTCTGAAAAGCACACCTCAAAAGCACCCACAATCAGTGGCTGCTCTTGGAAACTTTGGTCCTAGTAACGATATGAACTGATGGATTTGTAAGCTGAATCTTATAAGTGAAAAAATAAAAGGTGATGGGATATTAGCAAATAATACTTAAACTAAGCTTCAAGTGAAGCCAGATTCTGATCGCTATTACACAGGCGTTCCCACACTGATTTAAATGCAGTTATCAGATTTACACCAGTGCAATTGAGGTGAGCAATCTGGTCCTGATTGTGGCAGGTAGTTTTTTCTAGCCATGAGCAGAACAAATTACTCTTCATTTTTTTCTAAACAAATGCTCCCCCCGCTCTTACATCAGTAAATTGTGGCAAATAATCAGATTTTTTTTATTTAAATTGGAGATTTTTTATTTAAATCGGATTTTTTTGATAAAATGCTTTTTGAGGAAAAAACCTATCTAAAGATAGTTTTAATTAAGATACATTATAGCTCAAAGATATCTCATCATGGAATAGGGATTATACATTCTAATTCTATAGTATGAGACAATATATTCATGTAATGTTTAAGAAAAGTTTTGTAAATGAGTTCCAATAGTTCATGGATTAGGGACCTAATCTTATGGGGTTCCAAGGGCTTCTGTATAGATTATTTAGGTTAATCTTTCTATCTACCCAACTGGACAGTGCTCAGTCTAGAAGATATCATCAGATACCACCAGGCTTAGTTTTGCAGTTCTCAAACTGTGGATTTGTTTCTCCAGAGCTAACATGCTTGTTAACAGCAAAAATGTTTTTAAATAAATAAAATATAGAGATGGGAAATAATAGACCGCAACCCTACTGTCCCTCTGAAAATTTGCATACACAGAGTCAATCCCTTACCTCTTTCTAAAAGTGCAAGTTTTCAAAAAGTTCAGTGAATGGAAGATTGTTGGGGGCAGAATAGATCTGGACAAGGAGAAGAAGTCTGGAGATAAATGTGAGAACGGAGGGACAGGCAACAGAAACAAAACTGAAACTGTTTGAGCAGCATATTCCAGAAGTCTTCAGGTCTTTCTGAGTGTAGCTTTCATTGATTTGAGATCTACCATACCATTCTCTCACTAGAAGGGAAAAGCTATAATGGCAGCAGGCCGTAAAAGAGACCCAGTTTGGGAATATTTTAATGAAGTTCCTCTACCTGTGGGTAAGACAGGCATGCGTGCAAATGCAAACAGTGCAACAAAGAAATGCAAGGCCTGGTTGCCCGAATGAAACAACATCATGAGAAGTGTTCCTTCTCAGGAGGATGCTGCGTTGAAGATGATGAAAGGAACATATCTGAACATGCAGGATCTTCAGATTGGTAAACTTTTTTATTTCATACTTCTTTCTTAAGGACTGCCTGTCTTTCTTCTGGACTACTCTTGAATTCTCATGTTTGAGCAAAAAAGATAGTTGTTACTCTATGGTACTATCATTTTAGATGCAGTTGTGATAATAAATAAATAGCTGAAATAGGCAGATTTTCCTTTTACAATTTCACCTTTAAAGTAGTACTGAGTGTCAGTGAATGCAGTGAGTAACACTCAATAAAAACTATAATTTAAATCAATTTGGTTTAAATCAAATCCACCCTGCCTGCTGGCTGTGATAGTGATACATGTGTCCCTTATGCCTTATACAGGCAGGAAAATTGACCAGAATAGAAATTCTGGAATAGCCCTCCATTGCAGATACTATTCTGAAATAAAAGGCACTTTATTCCAGAATATTTACACTGCTCATGAAGCATATGCTTAAGCGCTTTACTAAATAGCGACCCAACTCGAGCAAGTCGTTAGTTTAGGAGTGATGGTTACTATCTTTCCCAGCATGAAATTGGTCTTGTCTCCAAATAGAGTAGGACCCTCAAAAGGTAAAACATAGGGTTTTTTGTGTCTCTCTCTGTGGAGAGAACTAGAGGGAATAGCTTCACATTGTTCCTTAGCATTTCCATCAGATTCCACCCAGACCTGGATTGTATCTGAGGAAACAGGAGTGGGCTGAGGATAGGATATGAAACTGAAAGCATTCATACCAAAAGCTGAGGAAACATGGTTGATCTCCTGCATGAGGAGAACATTGCAGCGCCATTTCCA